TTTTAGGCTTTGTAAACATTCAGCAGTCTTACCTGATAAAATTGTGGATGCAGACTCATACCCAGTATTTGCTCATGGATACTGTGAAATCCACTTAGAATTATTATACGTTAGTTTTGGGAGAGCAGTAAGGAAACTAGCTCCAAATAAACCTTTCTCATCTTGACCCCTTAGCCTGTTCCCTCACCACAGCAGTACCCAGAAGACACACTCAATCTTGCCTTCACTTCCTGAACCCACATTTTGGAGGATTATTTTTTTTCCCTTGTCAGTTACCTCTGAAGACAGCCAGAGAGTGGCCTTAATAAGATTCTATGTGAACACTGCTTTTGGGGGCGGGGGGAGCTCAAAATTGTTTATTTCTCATCAACAACACTCTTTTTGAAATCAAATCATCTGACCGTTAGGCTCCAGTAGAGCAGAGAGCTGAGGCATACCACAACTGACTTCCAGTTAACTGTAAAGTCATGATGAGACTGCACATGATGACATTTTGAGGTATTCTAGGTGTATAGGTATGGAAAATTCCACATTTCAGCCTCCTAACCTCAGCATCAAACTGTAATAAGGATATTTGTTCTCCTTTAGCACTTTTGCTTTTTTTGGGGGGGTGGGGGCAGTATTTATTGAGAGGACAGAAAAACTCCCACAGTGGGAAGGGACCCAAGGGGGTTGCCCTTTTTTTTTTTTTAGAGAGAGAGAAATGGCCATGTACAGTTATAAGATGATTCTATGTAAGTCGACGTGTATAGCAAATGTACAAAAATATCCTTGAAATATGAGATATTAGAGGATGTGGGGGTGATGAGTAGTCATTTTGTTTATATGCTATTTATGCGGGTTCGAGACCCGCCTGGGCAACTTGGCGAGACCTCATCTCTACAATAAATTTAAAAAACTAGCCAGGTGTGTTAGCACGCGCCTGTAGTTCCAGCTACTCGAAAGGCTGAGGCGGAAGGATCGCCGGAGCCCAGCAGGTCGAGGTTGCGGTGGCTGGGAGCGGCCACTGCACTCCAGTCTGAGCAATAGAGTGAGACTCCAACTCAAAAAAAATAAAATAAAATAATATTTTAAGGCTGAGATAGATAATTTGTATCTTAGGCAAAACTGATTTTCCCTCTTGGAATAGCTGAGAGATAATGCTTTGATTAATGAGATTATAGGTGAAAGAGTGTGGCGTTTTGGAAAAAGTGGCCTCTCAACCACTAGATCTTGAAATGGGGAATCAGGCTCTGCACTGACAATGTGAGCTCTTCTCTCATTTTGGATAGTATGCAAGTAACTTGTGTTTCTTTCTTTATCAGTCTTTGTTCCCTCTTCCACCATTTCTACCTTTCTGATTTGTTGCTAGATCAGATTTGATCTGACTAGGTGGTACTTTTTTATTGGCAGGCTTAGGTTTTTATTAAATAGAATTTTCTAATTGGGTACAAGTAAAGCCAGTGATCTCCGCTCTGTGATTATAGCAGCCAGGAATCTGATTAGATTTTTATAAAATGTTTTGTAGAGGGGCCATTTTTAAAAAGAACTCTATAGACCATTAGTTCCGGAGATGAAGCTGTTACAACACTTGAGTAATGATGGTAATGATATTATGAACATAATAGCTCATATCACTGTTTCTTTTTTTTTCTTTTTTCTTTTTTTGAGTTGGAGTCTCACTCTGTCACCCAGCCTGGAGTGCAGTGGCCGCTCCCGGCCACCACAGCCTCGACCTGCTGGGCTCCAGCGATCCTTCCGCCTTGGCCTTCCAAGTAGCTGGAACTACAGGCGCGCGCTACCACGCCCGGCTCATTTTTGATTTATTGTAGAGATGCGGTCTCACCAAGTTGCCCAGGCAGGTCTCAAACCCGTGGGCTCAGGCAATCCACTCACCTCAGCCTCCCAAAGGCGCGGGATAACAGGCTGAGCCACCGAGCCTGGCTATATCATTGCTTCTTAATCAAAGCTGAGATGTAGTATCATGTAAGTCTATGTGAAGGCAGACGTGGAGGCATGAAGCCATAAAAACTACATTCTTTGTTCAGAGCTGATAGCAAAATGTCTTGCATTTAGTTGCCCCCACACTTCTACTTGCCTCTGATACTGGTGCAGGAAGCAGAGGGATAGGCTGATTCTAGGTGGTCTGCAATGTTACTTGGAAGTCATGCCCACCTACCCCTTTAAATGCCTCTATGTTTGTCTTTTCCTTATAAATATTGAAGGCATAACACAAAAGCCCTGGTTATCTGGCTTTTACCAATTAGCTTTGCTATCAATTAACTTTCCTTTGGAAGGAGATGGTAAATCAGTTTTTCACTAGACATCTGGAATTTTGAATAACTGACTTATTTTTTTATCAGCTACTAGCCTCAAAAACATCAAAACAAGGAAGAGACTAAGCATGGTTTATTCAAGAATGGTACTCAGAAACTCTGGCAATGGTGTGTTTGTGCAAGTGTTTTGATTTCAAAAGAGTAAAGTCTTTATTTAACTCTATACAATGTGTATATAATAATATAATTTTAAGGCACCTGTTTCAAAATAGAAACTAGGATGTTGGAGATAATAACAATAAACAAAAATTAAAGCAAGCTGGGCTCAGTGCCCAGGAAACTAGCCAGACTCCAAGGACTAGGCAAGGAATAAACTAATGGGGGGAAAGGCAGAAATGGATAGAGTTGCAACTGCCTCCACTAAAAATGAGTACATTTGTCATTGTGGGTGGGGTGTCTGCCTGTCTCATTTCAGTGACAAACTTCCAATGGAATGTGCCTTCCTAAAATGTAAATCCTAAACTTGCTGGTAACATACAGTAATCTTGTATTGTGTTTGAGTTTTTAAAATACTATAAACTACTTAGAAACAAATGAACCAGAAGTAAAAATAGGAGTCCATAACAACTTTAACTAAAGGTAGAAGGAAAACCTTCATGTTTCCCGGGATACTTAAATGTCGTATGATTTACATAAACAAAGGAGGAAATTCTCTTTGTGTGTTTAGGGGTGTGTGTCTAATACAGGAACCCATGTTTTCCTGTTATTGAAAAGTATTCTTTAATCTTTTAAGCACATGTTAGGACCTGCATATATTAGTGCTACCGTTTGTGTCATAGGAGACACTAAATAAATGAATCAAATTAAAAGGATGGACAGAGACCTGGGCAGACCTGTAATATGACATGAATTCAGTTAGGGGAATGGTTATTCCTTTATCATGCTTGGAACCTGTTAAGAGAGACCATTTGTGAGTAGAAGACTATAAAATTTCCTCTGATTGGGGGTGTTAAGGAGATGATAATTTTAACCATGAAAGTAAATGTAGTTGGTGGGTAATGTTCAGAAACTTTTCACCAAATATAACTGAAATACTGGGTAATAAAACAAAGCATTATTTGAAGTTAAAAAATACCTGCTAAATTCTGGTTAAAAGTAAAGGGAAAAGATAATGCTGAGACCTAAAGACGGTATTCAGTGATGAGAAAGTAGGGTGCTCACTAGATCTGACGGCTGAGTGGTCCTTTTTATTCCCCTCTCTTAATCTCTGTTCTACTTTAATAATCTCAGACACTGAAACTGCAGTGGGCTATAGAACCCATGAACCGTAGAGTCTTCTCATCACCAACTTTGATTGGAGCAAGTGCTTTCTGGCCTTCATCCCTCCAGAATTATTTTCGTCATCCTTTGAACATCTGCATAGTTATTGGGTATAGGGGGTTATTTGAAACAAAGAAAGAATGTACCATAGATGTGTAGTCTTCAGCAAGTCAATGATTAGGATTGAATTCATTATAGCCAGTGGCGATTTCCACTTTCACTAGTTTCTTTTTAGCATCATTTCTTTTTTTTTTTTTGAGTTGGAGTCTCATTTCTTTGCCTAGGCTGGAGTGCAGTGGCACGCATGCTCACGGCCATCCCAGTGTTGACATTCTGGGCTCCAGCCATCCTTCCACCTTGGCCTTCTGAGTAGCTGGAACTACAGACGCATGCTACCACGCCCGGCTATTTTTTATTTTATTGTAGAGACGAGGTCTCGCCAAGTTGCCTGGGCTGGTCTCAAACCCATGGTCTCAGGCAATCCACTCGCCTCTGCCTCCCAAAGTGTTGGTATTACAAACTGAGCCACCAGGCCCGGCCAGCATCATTTCTTTATAATCTTACTAATTCCTACAGCCAGGGCTCTATAGGAGCTTTTAGGAAAATCCTTTGAAGACCCTTAATTACCTCCCGCCCTTGAGTCTCTAAGTCACAAAGTAGGCTGACTTAGAAGTATCGTAGGTGCCTCTCTCCATGTGCCTGATACTTGACATCAGTCTGAAAAGTGACACTGTCTATCTTCAGCACTGAAGGTGTCAGGGGAAGAACTCACTAAGGCTGGGAGGAGGAATTGTTCCAATCCTGCAGGTGTGGTGACCTCAGGAATTCATGTGGGTGTTGTTCACAGAATGCCAGATGCAATCATAATCAGATACAAACTGAACAATATCACAAAACCAAATAATTCTTTTTCTTTCTTTCTTTCTTTTTTTTTTTTGAGTGAAGTGTTATTCCTTATCACTGAGGCTTGAGATATTTACATTGAAATATAAAGCTAGAAATATGCATTGCAGTTCTCTAGGGGAGCCACTAACCTTCATTTTCTTTAAAATTCAGGTATTCCTAATGAACCTTACCTGATATCTGTCAGCCCTATATGCTTCTTTTCCAGCAAGTTATAATTGTGCACTTGTAGCCTCCATTAAAGGTGCTTAATGTTATTCATTTAAGTCATTTTCGATTTGAATGAATGGAGAATAAATGAAGCAGCCCTTACAATTATATTGTAAAAGACTTGAGAGTAGAGATTATAACTTATTCCTTTTCCATTCACCCCTCAGCAAAAGCACACATATTCATTCAATATTCCCTCTCTCCCTCTCGTATTGTGCATAGGCACCATAAGTGTCCTATGGAAACAACACTGGATGAGAAAAAACCCACCAACCTGCAGATACACTAATCTAAGTGATCTTTTCTTGGCAGTAACAAACAAGAAGCCCACGCAGGCATCCATCACGAAGGTCAAACAGTTTGAAGGTTCCACGTCGTTTGTTCGGAGATCACAGTGGATGCTCGAGCAGCTTCGCCAGGTTAATGGTATCGATCCTAATCGGGTGAGTGCATTGTCCAATGCTGAGCAAAGGCATTCTCTTCACAAGATGACTCTGATTGACCTTGGTAGTGGTGGTGGTTGCTTGAATCATTCTTAACAAGGCTATTTATCTAGTTTAGTTGTGTGACTAAACCTTTCTGATGCCTGTTCTCTTCTTATGGGAAATCATAAGTCTTTTCATGTTAATGGAGGAACCTAAGGGAATGCATATTGAAAAAATTTTATCTCCAGTAATGTTGATTACAAAGTACAATAAGGCAGGGTGAAGATAATCATATCTATGGTTATCAGTATGAAGAAACCACATTCATCAAAGCTTCATTCATCTCCTAAAGCCACCGATGACAAGGTTTATTTACCAAAAACCAAATAAATGAATATCTTTAAAAATTATGCTTTAGAATTCCATTGGATTTAATCAGAGAAACATTTTATGGCACAGTTATCTATTCAAAGTTTGTTTGATGTGTGTGTGAGCATTCCCTTTACTCATACACACACCCCAAACAAAAACCCTATCATGATGAATAATAAAATATAAATTGTTGCTATATACTAAAATAGTAAGAGGGAATCTTTTTGTACCAAAGTTTAGGAGCAAGATTAAAGTAGGTCGTTGCTGAGAACCTGAAGGAATCCTTTTTCCAGATATTTGGGAAGGCAGTACGTGGTCTGAATTCTAACACAAGTCAATGTATAGTTAGGCTGTTTCAACTTCTGTGATACTAGTTTCCTAGGGACATCTGTAAATACTATAAGATATGTTTACCCAATAAACAGAGAATTATGGACTCCCTGTGCACTTGGATGCTAATAAAGACAAGCCTCCTGATTGGGACCAAAGTCATTGTTTTAACCTCTAGGAATCTTTTGACAGAGGAAGCGGCAGTTTTTATAAATTGAGATCAGTAGTTATTTCACTGTCTTTTCCAGGATTCTGCAGAATTTGATTTGTTGTTTGAAAATGCTTTTGACCAGTGGGTAGCCAGCACAGCCTCAGAAAAATGCACCTTCTTCCAAATTCTTCACCACACCTGCCAGAGGTACCTCACAGACAGGAAGCCGGAGTTTATTAACTGCCAATCCAAAATAATGGGAGGTGAGTGGACATTTATGTGACTTTAGTCATCCTCTTTCCTTAGGTTCACTTTTACCTAAAAAACTAGGAGTTCAGCAGCATAATTAAAGAAAAAACAAGAGCAAAATAAAAATGCTCAGAGTTGGACAGCATGAGAATTATTCTGGGCAGTTTAATTTATGCTAAATCTAGATGCCATGTTGAGTTTTCATTCTTATACAAAAGCTGATCTTTTTAGAAGAATTAGCCACTTAGCTAATATTATTTGTACTATGAAAATAAACCTATCCCTTTATTATAGAAAACTTTTACTTTGGTTTCTTTACTACTCTTTTATGTAATTGCAGAATACTATGTTCTGATTTGCTTTTTCCTGTTATTTCTCAAGATGTTTTTACAAATATTAATATAAAAATTTCAACAGATGCCATCTTTTTCTTTTAATAGCAGCTCACATTTATTTCTTGAATGGCATACACAGCTGAATTAGGATGAGTACTGTAAGTCAGTGTTAAGGGGGTGAGTACCAGTGTTGGCAACATAATGAGAAACATTTAGAGGGTGCTTAGCACATTTCTTTTAGGTGACATTTCTTTTTAGAGACTTGAAACTGTGCTAAAAATATAAAAGCCTTGCCAACTCTGTAAGTTGGTAAAAGTGTTTATATCATTGGTCTTTTCACTGACCTCTTCTTGGTTTTGAAGACTTTTTAAAAATGCACCAACTTTGCCTTAATTAAATGTTAAATGAAGATCACATTAAGACGTCACATCTTCTCCTTGGGCTGTATTTAGCTTTCTTGGGAACATGGGGCAGAATTCATCATTCTGTCCTAGCAACTGACACACACAGTCATTCTATCATTAGTCTGTTAGTCGTTGTACGGAGAAGTCACTGTCCAAATTCTTCAGTATTATTCACTGAAATATTGGGCATTCCTCCTAAACAGGAAATTGCTTACATCGTAAGAACCTTGAGATGTCTTTCTTAGGCATTGAGGCAGACTCTTATTATATCTTCTTTATTTAACCCCAGAAAAATACAAGAGGTGAGGCGTCATGCATATTTTCTTCAAAGTGGCCAAATCCTATGATACAAAAATGAAAAATATTAAACAAATGTTAAAAGGAAAGAGAATAGCAAACACTGACTTATTTGTAAAATATAATGAATTATAGCTCTCTACCATATCTGTACCACCAGTTCTTCAAATGACTCCTGCTTTGGAAGTCCAAGCTTTAACAGACTTGGCAGAAGGTTGAAGCATACCAGTCTTAGGACCACAGATGGCCACATTTTCAGTGAAATGAAAGTTGGCCAGGAGACCCACATTTCCCTCATTCTTCATTAGGTGGGGTTTGCTAGGCTAGCCTAGAATCAGATTTGTTTCTTGATCTTCAGCTCCTGCTATGAAACATTTTCCTCACCAATGTCCATATAGCTTGCATGCATGATTAGCTTGTAAGTACAGAGTCCCTGCTAAAAATAACATTATGATTTTTTGACATTATGAATTTGAAACTTCTGTTGCTCTTGGGAAAAGACTTCCCTCAAGCATTCCACTTCATATTCCTTCCTGAGCAAAGTGGCCAGAAAAAGACCCAGTGCCATGGAAACTACTGCACTTTCTCAGAATGGAAATGTGAGGGGAAGCAAAAGGACTACAGACTCACTGTCCTTGCAAGAAGTACGAGCTACCTCCCTCCTGTTAAGGTTAGGGATACTTTGCTACTCTTCTCTTCCTTCTCCCGTAAGGGATGTACTAGGCAGTCCCTGTTCCCTGTTGCTTCTAAAACCTCCATTTCTTCTCCCGGAAAAGGGCCTTTCATTCATTAATTTACTTACAGTTCATCATTGAGTCGTACTACAAATAAGGATTAAATACTAGTCACTGTGCTATGTCCTGGATATAGAGAATGATTCTATACTCGATCCCTTAATAGACCCTAATTGCCACTACCCAAATCCTAAATGAACAGGTTCCAATATGTTCTTTATTTACCTTCCTGAATGACACAGTCTCATTCTGCTGCATCTTCCAGTCCTTCCAGTCACCCAGTCCTTCCAATGTCTTTCATCGCCTTATAAACCCCAAATTATGCAGAATTGAGATGGGAACCTGTCTCCAATGTCAAATTGTTGGTATGTGTATTGGATAAAGCTAAAGCTTGGTCTCCAGTAGTAAGAAAGAATAAGTTAATGAGACTAAGTGCCAGAATCGTGATTGTAGGTGTCTCTCATCTTCTTTAGACCTCAGTTTTCTGAGATGTAACATGTGAAGGTTAGGCTAGATGATATGTATATGTCTTTCAGCTCTATCATTTTGAGAGTCCGTAATTTCTAAATTATAGTTTTATTGTGTAAGTTAATTTCTTCTTAACTAAAGAATCAAATAAAAAATTTTAATGCAGTTAAATATTGGCAAGTCCTGGATTCCTAAGAAAGTCAAAAAAAATTTGAATTAAGCATGTTGTAATTTGTTGGCAGCACATATGTCCTTAATGAATTCAGCCTGTCTTATTTAAACAGTTGCTTCTCCTTGATAACAGTTGTGTCAACACACCCTAATAAATTAGTATGCTGATTAGTCATTAGGCTTCTTTTCTACCAGTTATCACAGTTCTGAAACTTAAAATTTACATGGTTCTGAGGTCACTACATTCTGACAACTTTAACTTTGGGGTACCTTTTTGCATCTATAGCAGATAAACTCTTTTCCCAATTTCATGATGTCTTTTGGTCTCTTCTTATAGTATAGGCCACAAATCCTAGATACAACTGCTTCTTTTACCATGACATAGGATAGTTTTGTGATTTTAGAGAACTAATATTGGTGTTAATATATTGCCTGTACCAGGCTCTGTACATATGTTACCTAATTTAATTTTCATAGCAGCCTTTGGACATACAATTTATTATCTCTATTTTACAGAGAGGGAACAGGACCAGAGAGATTATTAAATAGCTTGTCCAAGGCTTTATAGCTAATAAGTAGTAAAGGTAAGATACCCAAAGAGGCCCATTCAGTGACTCCTTAGGGTCACTGGCATGCTCCAGGAGACACTGCTGATGTTGCCTTTATTATAAATGGTGCCCCCTGGAGTTTTGGAGGAATTTTTTGGAAATATTTTGACCAGTACATTCCTGGGTATTAAAAAAGGGAGATGGGAAGAGAAGATCAGCAATTATGAATGGTTTTAACTTTTTTTCTAGTTTTGTTACAGGTGTATATTTAAAACAATAACTCTTAAACTATTTTTTTTTCTAAAAACAACAGAGTCATCAAGGGCCTTTACAGTCTTCTCACTTTTTGTTTGTTTTTGTCCATCAGAACTTCAATAGATTAAATAGATAAAAAAGCTCGGGGAAGAAGATGTAGGCCTGGCCACCCACAGGGCTCTCAGGTACTCTGTGTCAACCTAAAATAATCAGAAGGTCAGAATCTAGTTTAAAGAGTTTATTCAAGCACAAGCATTGAGGATGGGCCCACCCAGGAAGCACAGATTCCAAGGAATGCAAGACCAGGTTCCAAAGTATAGAAGTCTGAGATCGCTTATATAGACAAAACCTAGATAATTTTGACACATTTCTATATAAGGCTTAATGCATTATCACAATGATCTGATTAGCTGGGGGTGTTCCTTTTCTTTTTGGAAAGGTATATTTAACATTTCACAACTGAAGATGTAACTGACATGGGGTCTCTGTTTAAAGCCCCTTCTAATCTAAGTTAGGTACAGGACAATAAAGAAATCAGTAAGTCTATAACAAAGATCAGTGATTGGAAGGGAGAGGTCTGATCTCTGGTATTTCCTAGCCATTTACAGAACAGGAACAATGAGGAAGGAAGTGAAGCCATAATCTAAGAAGCTCAGTTGCAGAACATGCTATATGTCTCAGATCACAGTTTCGTCTCTCTCAAGTCATAAGGTATTTGGGGGTTTCCAACAAATTTTAAAATTTATTTTTACATCTGTATCTGGTCCTACTCTTGTTGGGAAAATTGAGACCCAGCAATTTTGAATGACTTTATCAGGGTCATAGACTAGAAGCAAATCCATCTGACTCCCACTGAATGATACTTTCTCTAATACCAATTCAACATAGGTTTATCATTTAAATGCCTACAATTCTATGCAGTTCTACTCTTATATTTATTGATTCTTTATATTCCTATGACCATATTTTTCTTTTTCTCTTGAGGAAAGTCAGTTAAACAGAAATGAAATGGATTCTTCGGCGTATTTGAAACTCTCCTCCGAAATAAGATTTCCTTACTTACCTTCATAAGACAGACTGGGAAGCTTTGATCTTCTGATGCCAGTTCAGGAAAGACATGAGTAAAGTATACAGGGCTACTTGAAGGCCCTTGTAAACTGAAAGAGCACAGAATGCCCTAAGGAAGCATGGAGGGAGGAGTGTTGGTTTCTTCTCATGCCTCTGTGACATCTTTGCACCTGTCTTCTCTGGATGGTCAGGATCAGTAAGCTAGCACAAAGTCCTCCAGACTTGGTCATTCCTCACCTCCACTCAACTTCTCTTTCAGTTCATTAAAGGCAAATCACATTTAAGAAATATAAAACCATTCTTCTAATCGCTGGGTACATAACAACCTACAGAGGTTGAAAGTAGAGGTGTGGAGCTGATTCGTGATGCTAAAATATGACATGGCTTCATGAATGACAGGAACCCTGAAAGCAGAGTCTTAGGTTCACACTAATCAGATTTACTTCTGAGATGATAGCTCTTATTTTTTCATATGAAGTCAAGGTCTCAAGGGAGACTTTACTTTTTTACTTATATCATTATTCTTAGCAAATCCCACATGACTCCCACAGTGCTGTGTCAATTATGCTGACCAATTTGTAATGATTACTGTTGGCCTAGTATACACATGCCTATACTGTGAACTATAAGAATTTTTAAAGCAAGCATAAACTGAAGTATATCCTTTCTTTTTTCTTGAACTCTAAACCCTAATACCCTGGCTAACTCCTTCAGTCTCCTTGTACTATTTCACC